TTTTAATCACATATTTTATAAAATCCGCAACTTTTCAATCACACATTTCATCAATTTTTATCAAATATTATAAAAATCTGATTTTAATCTCCACAAAAAAAATGTTATATTGCCTTGAAGCGGATATAAGAATCATAGTCTCGCTCCGCTACTTGTCTCATTTAAAGTTAGTTTCAAAATTAATTTTTTATCAAATAAAAATAAAAAATTTATCATCATTTTAAAAGAGAACATGAGTTATTTATAACAAATTGAAAAACAAAGTAATTATATTTATTAACTAAAGATATAAAAAAATAAGTAAAAAATAAAATAAATGAAACAAAAAAATAAACAGGGCAATAAGTGGGGCAGGGAACCTGCCCGCCCCACCCCCATCATTCCTTGTCCCACTTTAACCTGGTATGGAGACGGAGAATGTGATAAAAATACTCGACGGGACGAAGATGGAAATGGTTGACCGTCTCATACTCTTCCCGTTGCCATCCCCAAGCATATGTGTGCTTATATATTTATTACATGTCTTTGTATATATATCGCTTATTTATTTGAAAAATTGTGTCAAAATATGGTTATATAGGAATTATAGAATGTTGATCGCAAATTTATGATCGACAAATTCTTCCACCTAATGTGGACTTTCTCCTCTCATTCTCTCTATACTTGATACTCAATAAGGAGTAAGACGAAAAAATACTTATTGGGAAGAAGATATTTTAATTTGTATACCTCACTCCTTTTAGGCGTGACATATTTGTAGATTTCTTTTTGGAGTTTTGGGGGCAATTAGGTCTTTTTTGGTAAATGACAAGGTCATTTAATGGTGAGTTTTTAATTAATTATGTTGTGTGTTCACGTTTTATTCACCAACTTACGTGTACTTCATTTCACTTGAAATTTAGTTAAGGTACAATATCAAATACATCTAAATGATCATCGGAGTATCCCCAGCTAATGGGAAAAGGTGGTTATACATCACAAAGCATGAAAATTTCTAGACAGGGAAGATCGTGTATGAATGGTCTATTCAATATCAAGATTGAGAGTTATTCGTGAAAAGGGTTAGCGAGACTCAATATAACGCACCCTTAAGAGGTTGTGGGCAATCTAGCACTAGCTTTTCGGGGAAATATTTCTTTCCTTATTTTGGCTCGTTTTTTATCTTCTTTCCAACCATGACATATGTTTTTGATCCTATATATAGAGTCCACGAATTATATGTTTTCCATATAATTTTGTGTAAGTTAGAATCAAGTTAGAAACACAATATTTTGTATTATTTCTCCATATTAATAAATTCTTCATTCATTTCTTGTGTTGTGATTACTACTTCATATTGTGCCATATAAACTCGTTTCTTCTATTTTTAACAAGTGGTATTAATACAAATAATTCTTGTTTGGATTTTCACAAAAGAAGTTTTCAATATCGATGAAATGGGATTTGTTTATAGGTTACAACCTTGTTATTCTCTTGCAACACAACAACTTGAAGGGAAAAATAAGACAAAGAAAGAGTTATCAGTTTTTTTGGGTGGGAAAATTGAAATTGTAAGCCTAGCACTTGATTTTTTGTATATTTATCTCCAACCTTACATAAATTAGTAAAGTTAATCCATATATATGCTTTTCCATCAATTTTTGCGTGAGCTGCACCGGCCTTTTTCATAATGCTAGAATTGTCAAAAAGCTTGTTTGATTGCTATAAATGATAGTCGCATATACACAACATTTTTTTCCCCATTTAAATTGCATTAAAGGTCCTTAACCATTTTTATCTTAAACTTTTTTCAACACTATTATTCGTAACATTTCATTTATTAGCAAACTTAATCCTTAATGAAGATTTTTTTTAAAACGGGGGATAAATATTTAGTCTCAATTTTTTATAGGAATGTTAACGAGTCGATTCGAAACTCGAAACTTGCGCTTGGCTCGAATAGAAATAGTTCGAGTTTTTTTGGGCCCGAGCCGAGCCGAGCTTTTGCTTAGTTAAAAAATCTAGGCTCGATCCGAACTTTCGACTCGAGCACTATTAAGCCAAGCCTACTCGTGATTTTTTTTCCAAGGCCTTTAACAAGACAGCTTTGTTAATTTTTTAGTTTATTGTTTTAAAAACATAGGCAACAATCTGCTGCCTTCAGTCTTTAGTCTGCCACCTTGTTAATTTTTTTTTTTTTTTTAAGGTTCGGCTCGTCACGGGTCGTCACGGGCCAACTCGAGCTTTTTCCTAGCTAAGGCATATGCCGGAGGAGCCGTCGAGCCAAATTGACACCCTTAATTTTGTATTTTTTTTACTTATTCAAAAATATAATATGCAAACGAGTTTTTTTACTCATTAGCGGATTTTTGAATGAAAACTATCATTAGAGACAAGATGTAAATAATTAATGAAAAAGTTAAAGATGAGAAATGTGATGGAAAGATTGAAAACATAAATGTAATAATGAATAAATATTATAAACCTTTCGTACAATTAAAATATGATATGATGTACTTATGATAAATGTGATGTGAATATGTTTAATCCGTTAAAAAGTCAATATTCTTGTAAAATATTATTTTGTCCTTATTTATTTAAAATAAAAAGAAAATGATAAGTAATAAAAATTAATTAGCAAAGAGAATTCCTTCACTGCACCGCACTCCATCCTTCCCTAGCCCGACATCACCACAATTGTCGGCAACAGACTACTATCAATGACATTTCTAGAAGATTCAAAGCTCACTTCAAAAACCAAGAATGGAATTCAGGAAAATTAGGCTGCGTTCTCTTTGTCGTTTTCAGGCCATTTTCTGTTTTCGATTTTTCAAAACTGTGAAAATGCGTTCTCTTTCCTATTTCCAAAAATGCGTTTTCGAAAATGAAAATTTTTTTTACACTGAAAACGTCAAAACGGCTTTTCAGCATTTTGGCTGTTTTCTAGCAAAATCAAGCCAAAATTGAAAACACAGGAAATGGAGTTACTGTTCCTTCTCCCTTCCACAATCTGTATTTTCCTTATCTCATCTCGTCGGTTTCTTTCCTCCAGCGCCGGTGACCACCATTACACCACCACTGCCACAGCCAAACATCTCTCTATCTCACCACCATAAAGACTCAAGCATCGTACAAATCACAGATCGGAACCAAAAGTAAAATAAAAAAGAAAATGGAGAAAATGAGTCGTACCCAACTATCGCAAC